CCAAGCACTTTTAACGCCATAGATGAAAAAATGCCAGCAAAAGACGAACTTTCAGCTCTTGTATTTACACGAATACTTTTAGTGAGATTTAACATTGAAGTATCGCCGAAAACTGTTCGGTGAATGCGGCAGAAACTTGGCTGGAGGACACAAACGGAGCAAAGTACTGACAAAAAGCCAAAGCGGGCATTTTGTGATACTTTTAGTGATGTTATTTTCACAGGCGAATGCTCAGTTAAGATTGAACGTTATCCTCGCCGATCTTTCCGCAACGTTGGTGAACAACACTGTAATAAAAGTCAACCAAGACATTGATATTTTGTTTTGTTTCTCTTCATAAGGAAACCATTTAATCCCACTCTAACTCAACTCATCCATCCATTTCCTTATTTGGACATAAGTTGAGCTTGTTGACAATAACAAAATGGCTGCAATGAACAAGAAATGGACAAGAAGATGCAGGGAAGATGCTTGCTTAGTGTATGTAAAAAGAAATTGAAAAAGGCATAAGATGATTCGTTCTGTCATTTCTCAAGATCGCCGGGCTGGACAAAAATTGGACAAATGTGTATTTAAAGTTACATTGTTTCCAAATTCTTGGTAAGCACTCTGATAGTGTAACTTACTAGCATGTGTTCTGAAGAATGCGTTCTCTTATAGTTTGCGTTCTGGAGAATACTTTTTCCATTTTTTGTAATTCGTAACCGTTCCGTATACGTTCCATTTCCGTTTGGTATCCGTTCTGCATCTGTTCTGTACCTGTTCTGTACCCGTTCTGTTCCCATTGTGTTCGCGTTCTCGTACCTGTTCTGTATCCGTTCCATTCCCCTTCGCAAATGCATTCCCTGTTAGGTTTCTTCTGATCGGTACTGTACATGCATACTGTATTTGCAAGTCTACCATTTACCACATAATTTTCAGTGGGTTATTCCAGAAAGAAATGCACCCCTCCCCGACAGATAGATTTCTGGAAATTCTCTTAAGAATGGGGGAGGGGGTTAAAGGCCATTGAAGTCTAGGCATGAAGGGGGGATGAACCTAAAAAATCTTCTTCAGGGGGTCATTTCCAACCAAATGCAACCTCAAACTTTTAGATGTGTGACATCTTGCATTTCAACGCCAGCTCTCTGAATCTGAAATCAAAGGTCCTATGCCTGGGTTGTCCTGTGTAACTTTTTAAGGTTACTTCAAACCTTCGTGGGGCTACATTGGTCAATATTTTTTTGGTCAAGAAAATTAAAGCCCGCGAAGCTCAAGTTAGCATACTGTGAATGCTAGGGGTTCTGTTATTTCATTGACTCGCGGCTTTTCAAGTTGACACATTCCTCTGTGAAGGCGTGATATGTTTATAAATCTTTACAAGGCGAAAACTCGCACTCGTTTTTCAAGAGAATCCCTTCTCTTAAATGAATTAATAGGGTATGCAGATTTGACGGTTTTCCATGAAATTTGGTCAGAGCTGAT